AAAAAATATTAATATTAAATTATTTAAATTATTAATAAATTTAATAATAAATTATATAATAAAAATAATTATCATTTTTGAAAATTCTTTCTTACCAATAAGTTCTTTTTTTTTTTCCTTTTTAAATAAAGTTACATTGTGGGGATGGGGGAATGAAAATGACTCAAACTCGTGTCTAGTGAGAAGCGGTATGTGGGAAGCATCTAGTTACCCCATTCGAAACTTCTCTACCAATAAGTTCTTAATTATTACAACATCTTGTAAGAAATGACATTTCTCTTTACTTTTAACTTTAATAATTTCAACTAATATAAATTAGTACCAACCAAAGAACAATATAAAGCTACCTCACAAATTATACATACCCTCTCCATTCAATTTTAATTATGTTAATTTGACATTTTAGCTTTTTAAATATTAATTTTGTATGAAAATTTAACAAAGTATATGAATGATAATTAAAAAATTTCCTTTTCCTATATAGTTCTTATTGTGTTGAATGGTGTCATTTAATTAATTTTTTAAATTATTATTCGTATATTATAGCAAATTTTCATATAAAATTAATATTAAAAAAAGTTTAAAAGTGAAATTAAACGGACGACAGTGGCACTACATAATTAGCATTTGAAAAGCAACCCAAAAGAAGCCAAATTGCAATACAGTAGCTAAACGATGTCGTTATTTTCTTCACTCCTCGAAGTGTTATAAAAAGTCCAAATTGGCCTCAACGCACCGTTGTTTTTCTCCTTGGTTAAACGATGTCGTATTTGATTCCCTCCTCGAAGTGCAATAAATTCCAAATTGCAAATCCCTGCCTACTGAGAGCCGTCAACACAAATCGGAGGAAGTTGGCTGCAGCGTTCAGACTAAAAATGGCGAAGAAAGCTACAAATTCCGGGCGATCTCGTCCGTCGTCGGCGTCTTCTCCGACTGCAAGGAGACTCCGGTCAGGGACGAAGCTGAAGGCGAAGCAGCAGAAGAAAACCTCAAAAATTGATTCTAAAATGCCAAAGAAACCCCCCACGGCTTTCTTCTTCTTCCTGTGAGTGTCATCTGTGCATGTGATTTTATGATTTCTCCTCGTCACTCACTTCTCTTTGCTCAATTCGTACTAAATGAGTAAGAAGTGTTCTTGCTGAGTAGCATAATCTGTAAAATTTTATTTGGCATCTTATGGGAATTGTTATAACTGGGTTTGTTTTCAATTCAACTTTTAATTCGAATTAAAATGCATTAGATTTTTTCTTATGTCCATTTTTTTCCAACTTAGGTTCTGGTACTGCCGGACTTGTTCTTAATTTGCAATTTCGTATTTTATCATCTAAAATATAGTTAGATAATCATTTTTAGTTCTAAAATTGATTCTAGGTAGAAACATAGCTGAAGCCGGTAAATATAACCTTTGGCCTAAAAGGAGAGGGGATAAATTTCAGCTTTGTAAATCATGAGATGGTTTGTTGAAAACGGGCATAAATCTAAGAGTGTTGTGCAATAGCTAATGGCTTAACATTCCTTTGCTAAAATTTATCAACTATTATGCCGCGTTTGATACATTATAACTTTTACATGGCTATTATGTAAGGACATAACAAAATTAATAACATAGGTAATTTATATGGTGAGGAGAACTAGCTATTACAATTTACAGCATTGTTTGAACTTATTATAACAAGATAGTACAATTTATATTTTTTTGTGTGCGTGTGTGTATTTAACCACTTTTTACTTGAATCTATTACATTTTCATTCGTATAACCATATAATATACAGAGGTTGACCTTAGTGACTTGCGTGGTTTTTGTTGCTGTCACATTTGATGTCAATGCTGTTTCACTAGACTAGAACAGATAGACTTTTCAAATGTGTAAGAATCATGGTGTGTGGTTCATTTTTTGAATTTTGGCTGTAGCAGACAAGCCTAAGTTTCCTAGTTAGTGCTCAAAAAGTCTTTGTTGTTAGACTGTTGTTTAGAGACATCAATTCAAGTTGGTTAATCACCAGAACAATCTTTGGAGAATTGCTTGTTATCTGAGTCCATTTTGCTTGATCATTTGAAAGTGCTTCAAGTCATTTTCCTAATATACACTCACTTCCTGCCTTTTTTTTAACTCAAGGGAGGATTTTCGAAAGGGATTTCAAGAGCAGAATCCAGATGTCAAGTCAATGCGCGATGTATTTACCATTTTAAAATCAAATCTTTGCTTACTCTCACTCTCTCTCTTGCATATTAAAAGCAAAATTGAAATGTTTTTGTTTCAGATTGGGAAAGCGTGTGGAGAGAAGTGGAAAACGATGACATATGAGGTCTGTACCCTCTTGTTTTCCCTGTTGATGCCTAGTTTTCGCTTATCTCTGCCATAGAGTTGGTAGTGCCTTATATTGATGTCTAACAAGATGAACTTTATTTGCTTGGATCGGCATGAACTGACCAGAAATTTCTTGGATATAGATATCAATATGATAATCAAAAGTAGCCAATAGCCATCAGTTTTTCTTAGTATTTTATTCCTCCAGAAACCAACATATGCATCTGCATCTCCTTGTCTCTGGTTTATGATGACTAATGCCCTTTATGAGTCGTTACTGTTTTCTTTTTTTCCTTTTACCTTGAACCTTCATACATGGAGACAATTTATTCACCCTCGAGTGGAAAAGGTCATATTATTGTGTTTTGAAATATATTAGAACTGAGTTGATATCTGGTCCTATTTTAATTTTAAAACCATGTTTCTAATCAATTAATTGTTTAGGTCTTGCCTTGTTTGGAGGCAAGATTGTTATAATTACTGTTTCAAGTAGCAGTCATATGTAGGTTTGGAGGGACCTGAAAAGTTCTCTAATGTTCGTTGGAGTTCTCTAACAATCCGTTCTCTATTTTGTAATTGATAGGAAAAAGTTAAATATTATGATATAGCAACTGAGAAACGAGCAGAGTTCGATGGAGCCATGGCAGAGTATATTAAAAGAAAGGTAAATGTCATCTTTGTTTCATTTGAGCACTGAGAATACGATTTACCTCATATGTCTAAATGCCACTTCAAGCTCAAAAGAAATCTCTAATGCTTATTTGTGGCGTACACAATATATCAAGCACTTAACTTATCTTCAATGATTATTTACTGTAGGAAAGTGGTGAATACAGGGAAAGTGAAGAGGATTCCGAGTATGACGAGTAGGCTTTTAGTAGGGTTTTGTTAGAAACTTTGTTGTTGTAGTAGGAGGGCAGGTGTAGCGGTGGTGACAAGTTGTATATTCTCTTTATCTAGTTAGTATTGGGTATCATTTTTGTGTAAATTACAAAATTGAAGACAACATTTAGGTGATTACAGACTTGCACTGCAGATTTGACCACCGTCATGATTGTTATTATTATTTAGTAAATATCACTAATTGATTCCTGTTGAGAACCATTTGCTATTTTTCCATCTTCTTTCTATAAGAAATTCCTCAATTGTGAAGTTATTTGGAACTCAGAAGCAGGCCTGTGCCGAGTTTGTTGTTATTAACAGATAAAATAACAAATAAAAGGTTGCATTTGAGGTTGCTGCTCTTACAGTGCTTCTTTCACACTATTAAATTATTATAATTAAATTAATTATTTTATATAATTTAGTAATTATATTAATGTTTAACACTCTTTTTAAAATAATTTTAAATAGTAATATAATTTTTATGATAGTAAAATATTAAAAAAAATTACATCTATAGTACCAAGTAGGATTCTCAAATGAAACTAAAATCCTTTTAAAAGTTAGGCCAAATATCTTCAATTTTTTGAGGTTAATAACCTTCCTGCTTGGAATCCAACGAATGTCTGTAGAATGGATTTATTTCACCTGGTTGAAATGTCTGGATATGTTCTGGCAAAAACGCCAGATTTTTATTTTTTTTCTCCCCAACTAGAATGGTACTTATTTCATCATACTCCTAATAAGAAAAGATGGGAACTAATTCTTCAAAATCTTCTCTTCATATCTAGCTTTTCTGTCAGCTGCTGTACTTAATGACTCGGCAATGTTTCTGACCTCCGCAACCATGGCGATAGCATCATTAAGCTTATTGATTGCAGATCCAACACCCTGTATTGAGATAGAGATTAACATTTCACAGGCCTTATATATGATGAGAAGAAAGAGCAGGAATGAGGACTGTCCTTTCAACTAAACAATGTACTATAAGTAAACTCTTCTAAGTTAATTTAGTTAATGTTGATACGGTGCTTACCACTCCTGAAGCTCCTGCTGTGATGGCCATGGGGGCTGTAACTGCACTAAGCCCAGAAGAACACAGAACTGGAAGCTTCACAGCTCTGGAAATAGAATATGCTGCGGCTAATGTTGGTGTTGCCTATAATGGGACACCAGCAAGTTAAAGGTAAACATGTTATTCAAAACAATACATTTACAGCAGATGCCCCAACAAACAATAAAATTAAGCTGTGACAAATGCTCTTTTCAGCCTAGACAGATAAAAAAAATTGATATTCCTAACTGAAAGTGACTGAAATGCACACAATTCCTTGAGACACAAATGATGATTAGAATGACATTTTAGTCATTCTCAGTCGAACTGTCATTTTTTTGTCAATAAGGACTGAAAATAAGTAATAACATTTCTCCTTTTAGACTATTGTCTAAGAGTGTTGTCTGGAATTTCTCTCAACAACATTATGGTTTTGAGAACACAAGATTCATTCTATAGTTAACTTCTAGTGTCTCTATTGTTACCTTCTCAATCAAACCAAGGACACCAGGTTTTGAAGGAGTTGAACATTTTCCTCCTTCAGTTTGGATAATGTCAGCACCTTCCCTTTCCAGCAGCTCTGCAAGCTTGACCTGTTACATACATGAAATGTCTGGTTCACAATTGAAAAATATCAATGTTGCAGGTCTAGACCAACATTATTGAATTGATAGTTATGTTATTAACCTGATCAGGTAGGCTAAGTGTGTGAGGCACAGTAACTGATAGCGTCAAGGATGGAAGAATACTCCTAGTCTCCTTCGTTAGACTTAGTATCTGCAAATATAATCAAAAGAATAAGAAAACAAAATTATTGTCAGTTAGGATTGTAGAATTTCATTTAAGAAAACATTGTGCGTGAATCATTTTCCATGTGCTAATACCTGCTCTGGGGAGAAAAGAATGCCAGACTCATAAAACGAATCATAGTTTCCAATCTCAGCCTGGATTGAACATTGAATAATGATAAATTAGGAAATCTCTAAGACTAAGTAAAATCGAAATGGAAGTGAGGTCATGGTCTAACCATTAAGGCTCCTGCTTCAACAGCAGCTAGGAAAGCAGATGGTTCTACAGATGAAACACAAACCTGCAATAGGGAGAAATTAGGATATCCCCTATTATAAAAACAATCCAATAGAATTTGTTGAAATTGCAGCTGATTTTATTTAACATCTGTAGTAAGTAAGTATGCTTGAGGTGGTGTGACGCTCCACATTGAAACTCACACAGTGTGATGAGGTGATTGTGAGTGATGTATAAGTGTCAAGAAAAATCACTACTAACATAACAAATTAAGTTAGAAGTTCTGAGGGATGTGGTACATAGGAAGAAAAGTATACCGGGAGAGAAGTTAGGCTAATGGCAAGCTTCACTAATTCTGGGTCACAAGCTATGTCTACATGAGTTGCTCCACCCTGAATAAGAAATTGGAGTCAGAATTTTTTCTTCAAAAAATGAAAATAAAAGGAGAGTAAATGGACCAAACCTTGTCTGCAGCCGTAACAACTGAAGCAACATTGTCTCTATCAAAATTCTGCAAACCTGAGATAATCTGTAGAAAGCAGAATTGATTCCAAATCTTCAAAATGATTGTCTACCAAAAATTTGTAATGAAGAGAGAATCAAATCTATCTGTTTGGTTGCCAAGAAAATAGAGATTAATCCCAAAACATAAAACAAAGAATTTGATCACCACATTACCTTGAGTGCTCTTCTTTCATGGAAATCCTTTAACACAACTTCTTTGGTAGTGGATAGAAGTGCCCTTGTTGTTAAAGAAGGTCTTCTCTTGGGAGTAGCATATGGTTTTGGAAAAAGAAGATTGCCATTACCAAGAAATGGGTTCAAGAGAGTATGAGAAGAGTGTGAAAGGGGCATGCAGACTGAAGAGAAATTCATGTTTCTTCTCTGTGTCTCCAGGGGAGATCTTTTGAGACTTGGAGGAAACAGATAAGATTGCAGATATTTGTAGTTGCATTTCATTTTGTTGTTTCCAAAGGTGGACTTTGGCCCATAACCTAAAACCTCTTCAAAAAAGGATCAGTTATCCAATTTTTGTCTATATTTGAAATTTTTCAAAAGAGGTCACTTATTTAATTTGTGTTTCTTGTTCTCACTTTATGGAAGAGTGATAATATTTTATTTTATAAGTGAAAATATTATTAGAATGTATTGTATTTGATTTCTAACTCCTCTTTCTTCACTCTTTTATTAAAAATATAAAATAGTTAAAATAGATAATTGTCCTTGTTAAAAAAAATTTGTGTTTTTCCTTTTTTTTAAATGGATGTTTTTCTATATTTTAATCAAGAAGTTGAGAAGTTGAGTTTTATTTTTTTTTTTTTAAATAAAAATGGAATTTCACCCAGCTAACCTCCACTTCTCTCTACCTTACATTTATGAAACTTGAATTTTACATGACTTTTATAGTATAAAATTTCTATCTGTTTCATCTACATGCGCAAACTTATGCAAACTTAAAATTTGATTGAATTGAACTTTTAAATTTAATTGTTCATCTCCAAGGCTTAAGAGTTCGATTTTCATCAATGACTTGAAACAAACATCCTCTATCTCCCAAAATTTCCAATGTTCAAAAAGAAAAAAAAACTTAAAATTTGATTAATTTACAAAATAAATTGACTTAAGTGAAAAATTAAAATTAAAAAGTTTTTTCATTATAAATATCAAAATTTTTTATGAAATTATTTAAATAATTTTGATAAATTTTTTATGTGTTAATTTATTTATATTATTTTAATCTTTTCATTATCAATCTTGACATTTTCATTACTAAAACACTAAACTTTTCCTTAATCTCTTGACTCAAATATTATAAAAAAAATACAATTTAATCTTTTTAAAAAAAGTAAATTAATTAAATACCAGAAATGAGAAAAATACCAGCCAAAAGTCCCAAAAGGGCAATAACCAAGGAACCAACCATTATCCCCTCCTACAGTTATTTTCTTTCTTCTATTTTTTTCTTATGGAAATTGCTTCAGATATTTTTTTTCTTTCTTTTTCGTCTCTTTCTTCGCTTTCAACCCCATTATCTTTCCCTTTTTCTCCCAATCCGAAGGGGTCTGTGGCCAACGCCGACTAGGGGTGGTGACAACCGGGGTGAGAGGACGGCTTATGGTGGCAAAATATGGATCCTCAGAACCAACCACCGTTTAATTCTACCGATCATTGTTTTATTTTGAACATAACCGTCTCAAATGGCATCTGGAATGCGGACAACCCCTTCACGGAATCGCTCCCGTACTTTATAGTTCAACTCGCCACCGTTCTCATCCTCAATCGCATTCTCTTCCTCCTTCTCAAGCCTTTCCGGCAGCCTCACGTTGTCGCCGATATCCTTGTAAGTTTGAATTTGAAATAATTTTTCTAATTCGGTAAATGTGAATTAAAAAAAAAAAAAAAGCGACTAAATATTAACTTTAGTCCTCAACCTTTAGAGTTGTTTGTAAAATCACCCATTACCTTTGAAACCAAGCAATTAGATACTTAACCTTTTTTAAATTTGCAATCCTTAATCTTTTCAAATGTCTCTATTGTAGTAATTCATATGAGGCTTAAAAAAATGTGAGTCTAAGGCTTCACTTAATATGTCGTTGTGGTTTTAAATTTTTTATTTTGGTTTTATCAATTTTACAATTTTAAATAAAAAATGTGTTTATTTTTATGTGTTTTTACAATATATTATTATGATTTGTAGAAAAATAAGAACAAAAATAATTTTAATGTTATTAAAAATATAAATATTTTTAGTTTTTAGTGCTAAAATTTGTTTTAAATAAATTTTAAATTTCTTATTTTTAGTTTTAATTTTTATTAATTGTAAACTTTATAAAAACTAAATATTCATAACTACAATTATATTAAACGAAATATAAAATTTCAATTATTACGTTTTAATTCTTTTAGTAAATAATACTCAAAAATTTGTAGTATATTAAATGATATGATATATAACAAATGATAATTATTTTCTTTTCAAACTCCCACATTTTCATCCATCCCAATATTTGAAACCAAAACTTAATTAAGTTCTTAACCATTAGATGTATTAATGAATAATAATAATTACTTTTTTTTAAGTACGATTTTGAAAACCATCTTAAATGTTGAGGACTAAATATAATCTTACTAAAAATGTACAAATGCGCACTCTGCTAACTCGGACTCATGCCTGCAGAGTGGCATTCTGTTGGGTCCATCACTATTAGGGAAGACAGTCATCTTCCCTCATTTGTTTCCTACGAAGGACATCGTAATTGTGGAGACAGTGGCGTACATGGCCGTTGTTTTCCACGTGTTCTTGGTAGGTCTTGAGCTCGACATAACATCAATGGTCTGCTCAACCAGTAAGGCAGTAGCATTCTCCCTAGCTGGAGTTCTCACCCCCTTTGTCACCGGCATCGGCTTCTTTTACCTTTCCCAAGCATTAAAGACACCTACTTCTGACCTCAATCTCAAAATTTCCATCCAAGGTTGCATTTTATGGGCCACTGCACTGACAATCACCAGCTTCCCCGTGGTCGCCCAAATTCTATCAAGTCTGAAGCTCCGTCATTTGGAGATTGGACGACTGGGAATGTCCACTGCTCTTCTCTCCTATGTGGGCAATTGGATTCTCATAGCCTTTGTTTTACCCCTCTGTGTCAATCCAAAAAATGCACCTTATGTAATGACATCAACCATGGCGTTCATTCTAGCATCCATCTACATGATTCGCCCGTTGCTTAAGATGATCATAAATCGATCGTCCCACAGGAAAAGCCGTCACTACTACAGCGACTATTACCTATGCTTCGTTCTTGTTGGTGCGTTGCTCTCTGCCTTTGTAGCTGATGTAGCAGGCACACATTCTGTGGTCGGAGCATTTGTGTTTGGACTCATAATGCCAAAAAGCGACTTGGGGATTTTGTTGATCAACAGGTTCGATTACTTTGTGTCGAGGCTTTTGATGCCGCTGTTTTTCGTTGCTTCAGGGATTAGAGTTGATGTTTCTAAAATTCAAATGCATTGGTGGCTTCTGGTCATTGTCATCATCTTGCTCTGCCTTGTTAAGGTTCTAATTGCTTTGTTGATTTCGTTCTTCTTCAACATCCCTCGTAGAGATGGTGTTGTCGTTGGATTACTCATGAGCACCAAAGAAGTCTTGGCCATAATCGTCATCAACACTGCCTGGGATAGGGGGGTACGTACTCACAATCCATATCTCCATTAATTAGAGAGCGTTAATTTTCAATCTGAACTGGGAAAAAAAGTTGGCCCGATCATTTTATTCCTAATTAATTATTAGTGACTTGTTATGCATTCTTTCAGGTTTTGCAAGGGGATGATTATTCCATAATGGTGCTTGCCCTACTAACAATGACTGGTATAGTTGCGCCAATCATATCTGTCATTTACAATCGCAACAATCCTCCGGTGCAATACAAGCGTAGATCCCTGCAAGGAGCAAGAGCCGATCCTGAAGTCCGAATGCTCACTTGTATCTATTCTTTGGATAATGTACAAGGCATTATCCAGCTCCTCGATTTCGCTCGAGCTACCAAACAGACTGTCTCCGTTTTTGCCCTCCACCTTGTTGAGCTCACAGGATGTGCCTCAAGGATGCTTATAGTCCATGGCACGAAGAGGACTAGTTCAATCTGTCAACGAGATAATATCCCTGAATCAGATCAGATTGTCAATTTACTTGGAAATTACGAAGAAGAAAACCCTAGCATCTCCATCCAAGCCTTCACAACACTCTCTCCTTCTGACCACATGCACGAGGACATACGTTCCTTGTGTGAAGACAAGCGCGTGGCACTCATGATCATACCATTCCACAAGCAACTGATGGCAGACGGACACTTGGAAGAGACAAACCCTGCTCATCGAAGCATAAACCAAAGCGTGCTTTCAAGTGCTCCTTGCTCTGTAGGGATCTTCGTGGACCGCGGCCTCGGAGTAGCCAAAGAGATGAAGATGCACCGTGTTGCGGTTATATTCATCGGCGGCCCTGATGACCGTGAGGCATTAACTTACGGTTGGAGAATGGTAGGGAATTTGGAAATCCGCTTGACAGTGTTCCTGTTCCTCTTCAATGGTGATGTTGTCGAGACAAAACATAATGACTCCTCTGATAGCATTCCATCATTGCAACCTTTATCCTCCTTCATTTACAGGTACGAAGGATCAACCATGTGAGCTCTTGCTGTGAAACATTCCTCTTTCTTAATAAATTTTGTTCTCATTAAATAACATTATTGGTTCATCCTGTTTTCAGGCAAAAACAAATCGATGACGAGTATGTAAACGAGTTCAGGCTACGAACAGCTGGTGAAGAGAGCGTTGATTTTGAAGAGAAGATTGTTAACAGCAGAGAAGGTCTCCGCACGGCGTTGAAAGAAACAGAAGACAAATTCGAGCTGTTCATTGTTGGGAGAGGAGCTGGGATGGCCTCCCCACTCACGGCTACGTTAGACAACTTTAGTGATTGTCCGGAGCTTGGGGTGGTCGGTGACTTATTAGCCTCATCAAATTCCAGCTTCGGCAGTTCAGTGCTGGTGGTGCAGCAGTACAGTGGTCTACCAGGCGGTGGTCCGCTGAAATCCATCTCGTCAACGTCGAGCCAGTCTATGCATAATAGCAAGGAGGCAGAGTTGGGGATGAGTAGGCAGTGTAATTCGATAGGAAGTAATGAAGGGCGTGGCTTTGAGGCGTACGTGAAGCACAAAAGAAGATACGATGAAGATGACAACGGAAGTGATGATGATTAATTTACAAGAGGTGTGGAACTATGAAAATTATGCTACAATTTATTTTTTATTTTTTATTTTTTGTAAATTGGATGATGGGCATGGGATAGCCATTCCCTTTTCAAATATCTCCTTACCCATTTCGAAATGAAAAATTAAAATTTCTACATAAAACCACAAATAACTCAACTCTTAACTCTTAAGATGTTTTTTAGAGGACATTATGCTCCATTTCTTCTTCTCTTATTTTGAATCTATTCTGAAATATTTTTTAAATTGTTAGAGTTCTAGTTTATTTAATTTAAAGGAGATTGATTGTAAATTAATACTTCTGTTTTCATCATAATTCATTGAGTGGCAGACAGAAGTTAACAGTCTGATCAAATAACGATTGTGGGACAGTGAAGATTGGTCAGTGCTTTATTTCTCCATCCATCTCATTCAATTGACATGGGGAAGAAGAAAGAACCGTGCAAGGAAACTAGAGTGATTTATTATTATCAGAAAAGTAGCATTTTCTAATTTCTATTATTATTTAGTTTCCTAACCAAAAGAAGAAAAGTGAAAATTTGATGCTTCGTTCAGCTGTTTCTTTGAAAAAAAAAGAAAAAAAAGAAGCCAAAATTTGTTTCCTCTTCCCTCATTCCTCAAACAAATTAGCAAGCAATGTTATCAAATAAAAAAATTAGACAAAACTCCCACGCATTTGCGCTAAATGGAGTCTAAATAAGGGATTTAACCAAATAAGGGATTTAACCAAATAATTACTATAAAATAAAAGTTATTGAATCCCTATTAAATAATTAAAATTATATATCCAGTTTGAAACAATTTTAAATTGTACATAATTTTTCATATAATTAAATGCTTACAAGTTTCACCAATAGATTAGTCCACAAGCAAGCAATAAACCAACAGCAACTAAATTGAAGATGAAAATTACTCCAATACAAAGTAGTTTAGCACAAACAACTCACTCAACTCAAAATATTAAATTTAAAAACATTAATTTAGAATCTAAAATTTTTATCTATTATTTTATTAAACATGTTGATCCTTTGAGAGTTTGTTTGTTTGTTTTGAGAGGAATTAAAGATATATAATTTAAACCAAACAAATTAAAATATTGGCTAGTGACTTAAATTGAAGGGTCAAAAGACTCAAACAATCTCTCTCTAGTCCCCCTCAAGCCAAATAAGCCCTTAAGTGGACTAGTTCCCGAACATATATAAGCCCCTTTTTTTTAACTAACTTATAAGCCTTTGTCAGAGAGAACATATTTTTTAAGCCAAATATGCATCTTTTATCACAAATATATATATATATATATATATATATATAAAGAAAAAGAAAAAGAGAAAGAGAAACACTATACTTACAAGTTCAAAAATGGTAAAAATTTTGAAATTGATTCATGTAAAATATGTAAGTATAATATGAGGTGGCATTATACCAAAATTTTTTCCAAACTTGTAAAATATTTAAATAAATAAATGCTTTGTATGCTAAAAGGCAAACATTTCCTTCCAAAAAAATTTTGAAGTAAAAAACCTCACTCAAACACCACCAAAAGTCCGGTTTCTTTCACGCATCAATGAAAGCAGCTTTCTGCCCTGCAAAGTCCCCGTCACCCCGTGTGGGTATTGGCCCCTCTGTACATAAAGGGCCCAATGGGCTTTAAAAGAAATAAAACCTGTCGTCAGAACTTTATTATTAACTCCGAATAACTCCGAATCCCCTACACCTCTAGTGCATTTTTATTTTTATTTTTTCATTTGTCTTGTAACGCAACTCTTGTTTCCTTTGTTACGCCACTATTTTATTCCTTTTCAATTCCTTGCAAATTCTAATTCTTTTACAAGTATTCTTTCTTTAAAAAATTAAAAAAATTGTAGTTAGAATGTCACTATTACTATAAATTTATAACATATTATATTATTATAATTAATTATTTTTATTTAAAATTAACTCATAATATTATATACATTATAAATTTATTATAATTTATAATTTTGATATTCCAACCATAGCATCACCCAAAAGAAATTGTCCCTTCCTATTTTTGCAAAGTTCAAAAAAAAAAAAAGTTCTATTTTGGTAAAAAGTAAAACTATTCTAGGGTTTTTAACATGAAAAAATTAGAAATTAAGAAGAATATTTCTTCATGAAAAAATTTATACATTATGGAAATGATGAGATATCCAAAAGTTAGTTTCATGTGAGAAGATCTATCCAAATTAAGCAGATAAAAACCAGTTGCATTGATCTGAGTCTGCCCCACACACAAGATTCATGAAGAAATTTCCCCCCTCAAAAAAAAAAAAAAGAGACCACAAAGAAAAAGAAAAAGAAAACAGAGAAAATGGGGGGAGATGAAGATTGCTGAATTCTTATATATACATACGATGTCAAAAGTGGCAGCCGCAACAGAGATAGAAGAAACAGAGAGTGGCGACCAACACTATGGCCTCTAGCACCGACGCGATCCTGAAAATCAAGTTGTCGATGAACGAAAGCTGGAGGTTCAGCCTCCTCCACTTGAAAGCAGAACCCAACAACTTCCATCTACATGACACCCTCTTGAACAACATCCACTTCTTATTACTCTTACCCATAACAACCTACTTTCCTCCGATCTCTCTCTAAAACTCTTTCCGGCAGGTGGACGGCCAAGGAATCTCTTTCTCGTTTGGTTAATTGGGATCTTGAGACAGGGGAAAGGGAGAGTGCAAGATGGTTATATTGGGAGAGAAACTCAAAAAATACGGTTTCGTAAGGTTCACGGTTTAATAAAGGTAGTCGTGGGAAGGAAATGGAGGAATCATTTGAGCTGGAACCATGGAGGGGTGGTTTGGTAATTTAGGTGGTGGCAACTGCGACGCGTTTGGATGGGTCCAAATATTATAAAAAAAAAAAAAAAAAAAGAAGAAGAAGAAAAAATCAGGAAAGGTGTGCAAACTTGAAACTGCAAACGTGAGGGTGTGTACATGTGACTTGGTGTGTAAGATAAATTCTGACAACTATTTCCACGGAGGGTCTTGGTTCCTTTTCTCTGACTCGGCCTGCACACCATGTGGATTTTTTAATTTGCAACAGTACTTTCTCTTTTTCTCATTTTCGTCCAGAACTTCTGTCGTATTAGTTTACTTTGACAAGAGAAGGAAAAACAATAAATGAAGAGATATGTATATTGCGTACGCGTGAACTTAATTTTTAAATAGGCAGAAGGTGCAAGTCAGCCCTTCTACTTGCAATGTTGTGGCAAGTCAGTCTCTGTACTTTAAACCATGGCAAATCAACCCCTTTACTTCACGAAATCCTCTAAATAGCCCTTTTAGTAGATATGACGTGATCCAATCGTTTAACCATTCCATTGCCCATTAAAGTCTAATGAGTTGGCACTGGCCGAGTGCTGATTGGACAATGACATAAACTAAATTCACTCGACTTTGGTCAAAACATTACGTGCAATAATATGAAGATAATTTTTTTATAAAATTTTTTATAAAATTTTTATATATTATTAAATAAATAAATGCACTTTATATCACAAATTTTAAATGAATAAATTAGTTAATTATTTAAATGATATATAAGTTTATATTAAAATGTAATATAAAAAAATTATTTCTAATAATTTTTCAAACATTATAGTGCCATGTTAACCTACCCAAGTCCAATGAATTTGGTCCATGTCACTGCCCAATTAGCACCAACTCATCAGAATTTAATATGCAATGGGAAGGTTTGACGATTGGATGCCATCATCTTTACTAAAAGGCCTATTTTGAGAATTTCGTGAAGTAGAGAGGTGATTTGCTATGATTTAAAGTATAGGGGTTGACTTGCCACAACATTACAAATACAAAGGCTGAATTGCACCTTCTGTCTTTTAACTAAGAAAGCAAATAAGAAAACAAATAAGTCCTCTAGTATGTGGATGTACTAATTTTTATTTGGGTTCTTTTGGTTTTATAACATGGATTGTTTTGAATTGTAAAATAAAAATATTTGGATGGATAGGAGTTTCAATATTATTAGGAATTCATTTTTATTCAACAATTTTTATTATATAGTTTGTTATAATTTAAATTGCATAATTATTTTCCACTTTTAGTTTTGAAGATAGAATTTAGGATGTGTTTGGTTTAATTGACTTTATTAATTCATAATATTTTCTTAAATAGTTAGTTATAGATAAATATTGTATACCTAGCATTTCCCCACACTAATAAGGGTGAGGTTATGGCCACTATTGATTTTGTTAACGCCACTAATTTTACCTGTAGTTTTATTAGTTTATAGTTTTATTTTTAAAACAAGTAGTTATGATGTATAGAAGAAAAATAATTGATATACTCTCAGTTCAATACATCACACAATATCTATCGGTTCGACATTAAATTTTGTAACTTTTAATCTTCTCGCCTTTGATTCAAATTTTTAAAAAATAATTTATTAATAAGTGCAACGTGAAATTGTTAAACCAAAAAAATATCAATTATTGTCTTATTTGAAAATATTTATTTATAAATTAATTTTAATGTGTTGTGTAATAAATATTAACTATTTTATTATTATTTTATGTTTTTAATAATTAAATTAAAATAAAATTTTAATAATTTTAATAATCTTAACAAATTTAACCGTGAAAATATTCATAGCTCACTAAGAACCATAGCCCACTAATAATTTATCTTTTCGTTTTCGGAGGAAGAATGGAGATTTGATGGATCTGGTTAAAGGGCAGGTGTTTCTGTTTGAGAATCTACTTTTGTTTTTATTTCTTTTTTTCTTTTCCAATTAGGACCAATGGTTTGGAAATTCTCTCTCTATTTTGGTAAGTAAGGTTGAATCCAAGTGCTATGTGTATGTGTCATTTCTCCTTGCAAAGAGAGAAAAAGGTGGCATAATAATGAACAAAAGAAAGGAATAATGGAACAAGCACATAACTGACAATCACTTAACAAATTTTTTAAAAAAAATATTAAATTTGAAAAGATTGAAGAACTAAAGAGCACTTAGCCTGAAGGATGCCTGTGATATGTTGAGGCACCGTACGAATATTACTATCTTGAAAGTTTGAAACTGAATTAATTGACAGATGCCTTTGGACATACTTTTTTTTTTTTTTTTTGAAAATGCCTTTCGACATACTTGCATCCACATATATGGAGAGATTTAAAAAATAATAATAATAATTAGTACATCATTTAATTTAACATATCCATTATGTTCATTAATTTATTTATTAAAATTTATGCATTTAAGATTTTTATTTTTAATTTTAATTTAAAAATAATAATTTTTTAATAAATATGTTAAATTAAATGATATTTATATCAATATTTTTTTTACCCTCAAACTATTTTCAAGGTACTTTTTCACTAATTTTGAATCACTTTCATTTTTATTAAATTTTAAAAGTATATCCCTATATTCTCTTAATATATTCAAATAAATTAATTTCACTTCAAGCCTTAAACTTTAAACATGCTTTACAAAACACACTTCGCTTTACACTTCACTTTACACTTGACATTCACAAATCACAGTGTTAAAAGAATGTAAAACTTTAAAAAGTATATATCAGGAATAATTACCAAGTCAGCTCATAAAATTGTTCCATTTTCTCAATCCAATCCTCAAACTCTTTTATGAGCCAAGGAAGCCCTCGTTCGGTACAGTTGATTGAGAGCTAGTTAGTTCAAACTCATGTGACTGTCATCTTTCAGTGAAAACTTTGTCCAATCAAGATTTAATTATAACTACTACTTCTTAGATTTATAAGATTTTATTATAAGAAAATATCGCGTGTAAATCATTTTTCCTCTGGAATAAAGGTATATATTGACTTTTGATTTTGTTCCAAATATATTCCATGCTTGGTCGGTTTAAATGTGTTGTTTATTTTCCTGTAAAGATTCACTCAATGATTTGAGAATAGCCCTTTGGTTCACCTTTTCATATTCAGTTTATATGACCAAAGATCAATTCAATGTTTTTTGTTCCCTCAAAGATGCTGCAGCTGTTGTATTGTTGTGGTTAAAAGTGTCCCTCTGCCAGGATTCAAAAACCAGCTAATTCAGGAATAAATAAAAGTCTCTACTGATTCGAATATGAAGACAAAGCTATGCTAAATGATACCCGAAGTCAGCACGAGCACATATAATTTTCTTTAGGCTGGAAAAGAAAACAAGTTCAAGTTTGTTGTTATCATGTTTCTCCTTCAACCTTCGGTTTATCAAAAGTAATTTATTAATGACAAATTCGTTAATGATAGTATTTTTTATTAATTAACCCTCTTTACTCAACCAAGTGAGTGAATTAATCTTGATGTCATGTAGTTGTTATAAGAATTAATTTTCCATAAACATTATTAACAAATTATATATTATCGCTTTTTTATTTGGCTAGTCTATTTTGTACAACTTCTTACATTATAAATTGAATTTTTTTTTTTTTTAAACCCCAGCTGATGATATGGGGTTTGGGAGGTGGCATGAATTGGGTAAGTTAGAAGTTGCCAATATTATTAAAATAAACTGACAAATCTTGCCAAATTTAAGATAAACACTTTGGGGGTCCAATCCAATGCCTGGATGGCAGACAAAGCATTTGCCTTTTTTCATGCTCTAGCCAAAGCAAATTAATAAACAGAGCATACATATGAAGTTGGTCAGTCTTTATGCCAACAGTTTCAAGAAAATGCTAAACCTAACTTTATTAATTAATTCCACACATGCCAGCCCGTCCCCAGCAAAGCAATATATTTATATATTTCATATACATTTAGAGATTCTAGTTCCAATATAATATGGTCTTCTAGAATTTAGGACACCATCATTTTCTCTCAAATTTTTTTAACAATACTTTGAGGTGGCATGGCATGCTTTATCAAAAGCCACAAAACTTGCTGTTTTTTTAATACAGTATTGCATTTATCTATAGCTCATAGCATGCCCGAGCAACCCTGTCAATAGGTTCAAATTTTCAAACTTTCTTCTATAGATATTATACTTTTACAACAAGTTAGGAACATAAATTAGTTTGCGTGCATCGGATCAAGTTTATCTTTTGATTTGGTTTGTGGAATTACTAGTTATTCACTTATTAAGAAATGCATAAAAAATTATTTTCACACAACATCTTTGAAAAACAAAAACGGTAAATAAAGGAAAGAATAAACTAATTAGAGTTGATTCAAATGGTAGAGATAAATGAGAAACATACTTAAAAATGCAATTTTAAGTTATTTTACTTATTATTCGATGTAAATAATTTTAATGAACTACAGTAACTATCTTTAAAAATAGAGTTTAATTATTCAAAAATAAATAAATGAATGAGAGTAAGCTTAACAAAAAAATAAGAGAAGTGTTTAAGAATATCATCTGTCACAAATCTAGTATTTATTTTTTATTTTTTTTATTTTTTTAGTTTAACAGTTAGAAATCTTCAAAACTGTTTGCATGTATCCCATCCCAAGATTGAATCCCTCTTCGATTCAGTTAAGTCATCCATACTTAGATTAGGGAATTCACTAACTGTTATCCATGAGCAAAATTGTTGCTGGCATTGTGCATAAATGAATCTAAGGTTTTGAATTTTCTAAGTACCTAAACGTGAGATTAAAGATTATTGAGATTGAACAGCTAAACTAATCATGGTCAAAAACGAAAAAAAAACAGCTAACTAATCTTTAATTTTTTTCAAAAGTTCGTTCTTGGAAAAGACGGCTTCCTAATACCGCCGGCTTAAGCAAAGAAAATTAACAAAACAAAACCAAACAAAACATTTTATTCCTCCCGCTTAATCTTAACGGCTCTGGAATGCGCTAGGCCCAAACTGCAAACCAGAAAGGTTTGGTCTTGTCTTTTCTATAACGGGCTAGAGCCCAATGTCCCAATTAATGGATCGTTTTTAAACAATTTTAAGCTACGCAATAGTGCACCCTAATCAAAGGGCTATAAGCCCAAGTGCCAATTAATGGATTTTGTCCTCAAAGGCAATGTTTTTGAACCCGGCCCGGTGGCTGGCCCGTTTTGACCACAGGGTCCGGGTCAACTGGTTGAACCGGTTCACCAGACCGGTTCAACCGGTTAACTAAAAAAATTTTTTTTTTGACATTTTTATTGAATTTTTGTATTTAACTAAGAAGTTCTGCTTTGTTGCTTCTATTGAGTGAATGACGAGGAAGATTTTGATTTTCGTTGCTGCTTCTGTTCGGTGGAGCAGAGAGAAGAGCACCGACAGAGGAGATGAGGAAGAGAAGGAGGGCAGCAATGGAGGAGATGGTATGTTCTGCAACAGTGTGACTTTTGTTTTGCTTTTCTGTTTTAGTCTAGTGAGGAAGAAAGAGGTGATCGGCAGTCAACAAAGGAGATGAGGAGGAGGTGCTCAGCAGAGGAGAGAAACCACTTTCTCGAAGACGATTTGTTTTGTTTTGAGCCAATCAGATGAGGTAGATGGTGAAGATCGGCGGAAGAGAAGAAGTGCAGTGACAGAGGAGAAGATCGACGGACGATCGGTGGAAGAGAAATTGACGGACGATCGGCGAAGAGAAGATTGGCGGAGTGGCGGACGATCGGCGGAAGACCCTTCTGCAGTTCTGTTGGTACTTGGTTCCTCCTGAATTTGGGTTTTGCAATTTGTTTCCAGACTTTCCAGTTTCCATTGTCCCGAGCTGCTGATGATTTTAGATTCTTAGGGGTTTTTAGTTTTTA